AGGAAGAAAGTTATTAAGCCCCCCCCCCCTCCCCCTTATTCCACACAATCAAGTTGATCAATAATAGACTGTATTTGTAATGTCATCCCAACTGTAACACTTCACGTCGACTGATCCGGGATGGTTTATTCACATGTTGAAAGCTGGAATTTGTTTTTTATCTTGGGCTGATTGACCTCGAACTCTTTTCCATATAAGACAGGCATTGTCCTGGTCCAAAACAGGAAGTACAATGTAGGTAAGCATAACCCTAGTCTGTTTCTTCCTCCTTTTTTGTTACTGGTAATGCGTTTTGCTAGGAATTAAATGAGCCCCCCTCTCTCATAAGCCCCCCTCAAAAGTGCTTAAAATAAACAAGCCCCCCAGGGGCTTAATAGAGGATTTACGGCAAATACATTCTTAAGTTTATTATTAGGACAACCTTTCCTGAAATAGCTGTAATACAAGGTAACAAACAAGCAGAGTAAGAACTGTTAGTGACCATGCACTGAGCAGAAGAACATAAATTTTCCTTGGCCCAATATACTAACTTTATACCACTATATACTAACCTCGGCAACTCCAAAGTCTGATATTTTTAATGTCCCATCAGTGGCAAGAAGTAAATTGCCTGGTTTGATATGTAGCCTTAGTTAAGGTTAATTAATATCAAACATGACTTTCCTCTAGGGTTGTCTGCTGTCGGTACATTTTGACAGAACTGCCAACAAAGCTTAAGGTATACATGTACATGTAACTCGCTGAGATCTTTATTTAACTAAACAGGCAACTTAACAGAGTGAGTAATAATCATTTGAAATGAGTATCTGGCACAAAATATATTATTTACAGCAATCCAAAAAGATATCTTTATGGATAATTCCTTGACAGTGTAAGTACCCAAGACCATTTAGCAACTGACGAAAATACCTATAACAAAAAATAATGCTGCGGTTATTTATTAATAAATAAAGTCAATAACCATAACTATACAAAATTGTATAAATTAATATTGCTATGCCACTTTTGATAGTCCAAGTGTAGAAAATAACATCATCAAAACTTTGCAGACAAGATTCAAAACTGCAGTGGAAGGAAAATACATTTTTTACCTAAAATAATGAAAAAGAACTAATATTATAAACTGCTGGCAGCAGTCTGTTTTTTCCCTCAAAATACCCCACTTGGCCATACTGTTCTTTTGCATTCATGATGGCTACATACTTGTCTAAGTGACTCTTAGAGAAAAAAAAATGGCTGACAGCAGTCTACTATTATTATAATTGCTATAACATAGTCACAACTTACCCATGGGCCTGCCAGATTGGGAATTTATGCTGTTCAGTACTATCTAACATCTCTTGCAACTCTCCAACACAATATTCCATGATCATGTACCTTTGAGGAGAATCTGTTAAGGTAAAGTCTGTATACAAGCAAACTGGCCTATCAGACTGGGGCTTATCCTGGTTTCTGTACCATGATGTTAGTAGGAGTATTTCTACACCCCCTGGGTGGAATGCTAGTCCATCGAAGGGCTACCCCCAACATTGAATTCACCAATACCCATTTAAACACCTGAGTGGAGAGAGGTACTGTGAGAGTAAAGTGTCTAGCCCATTAGGACACAATACAGTGTACTGGCTAGGGCTTAAGCCAGGGACCCTCGAAACAGAGATGGGAGCACTCACCATGAGGCCACCACATTCCCAGAATCTGTAAAGGCCTATACAGAATTTGGTTGTCAGAGAACTGATTAATAATTATAGTTTGACTTGAGCTAATATGCAATAACATTCTTTTAAACTCGAAAATGTAAAATGTTAATTTTCATCATTTTAAATAAAGATATCTCCCTAGACGAAAACAGTTCAGAAAGGAAAACTTTTCAGGTACGTAGCTGCAGAGCTTTTAAAAAACATAAACCAACAACGGCTGTGCATAAATGTTTCCAGATGTTCACCTATTTTCTTTTAAAAAATGAAAAAAATAATGTAAATGTTTAAGTGTAATGGTATCTGAAGGCCAGTCTTACAAAACAGCCCAGACAGGAAATAACATGTAAGTTCCAAGAGTAACGATTCTCAAAAGCAGAGACCCAGCAAAAGCAGCCACTCACTGACACTTTAGTAACTGTAGCTACAGGTACATGTAGAAAAACCCATAAAAAGCAATGTCCCTCTCTCATAAAACCACACCAGCTGTTAATCTTAGCGGTGTACAGGCTGTTTATTACATTTTTAACCTACAGCTGTGCTTATGGCTTAACAAGCTTGCACAAGACTCCTGTACATGTACATGTAGCACAGAGGTACAAGTAGACCGAGACTAAATTGAGACTAAATGTTACAATAACTGGCAACTTATTCTAATCTTATTGAATGACACCAATAATATTGTTGTCATTATTCCCTTGTTTCAACTTGTCTGGTTCTCAAAGATTTCAGGTTAGGTCCTTGCTAGACTTGCGAGGTATTCTACAACTGTCTTGTAAAAAATCACAGGTGCACACTGATAACTGATCAACATCTTTCTCATATTTCACTTCTCTACAGTGTCACGAGACAAGACAAGACATGACAAGACACCTGTTAAACAAATATAATTCACTTAGTCATGATGAGCAAATCTCATTCTTGTATGTCTGACAATAATAATCTGGAATTTGCATACAAAAAATAACTCATTTTCACACGCCACTAGTGAAAGATCAATATTTAGCAATAAAATTTCGCGTTACATTGTAGTTACGTAGATAAAGATATCCGTTTTCCCGTGTTCAATGAAGATGATATGCTAGCTAACACTTCGATTCAAAACAATCAAATACATCGTTTAAACAAAACATTCCAACTTGATCCTTCAAATATTAATTCATACTGTTATCGTAACTACAACAAAGTAATATGCCATTCACAAAATACTACACAATACGACAACACTTAGCCGGCTTTTTCCTGTAAAAGCCAAAAGAGATAGAAAGCTATCCAACATCAGGGACGGTATAACTTTGTTTTCGCATAAAAGGATACATCTTCTGCTTTTGTTCGTCGTATATAACATCGTACAGTTTAATAACATTAGGATGCCGCAGTCGTTTGAGAAGCTGAATTTCTCTGTGAACGTCAAATCAAAGGAATGTTTAATTTGCGAAAATCATTGCGGCCTACCTGTCAAATATTAACGTTACACTTTGTAGTGAAGACGATAAGTTTTAGAAAACATTTCGCACCAGTTAAGCTTACTCTTCGAAATACTTCATAATAAATTAATTATAACAAGCTCTCACCTTTGAACATTTAGCTCTCCGTTTGGAATTCGCCGCAATTTTCGCCGCTTCATAATTTTCACCGCACAGCGTCGAAGATTTTCACTATCAAGCATTTCCTTGACTTTCCCGTAGGACCCTTCACCAAGCGCATCGCCCATAAGATACTTTCCTATGAGTTTAGCTCTCTTTCTTCGTGGTTGGTAAATAATTTGATCGGAGTCGACGCGATGAAAGAAAATGTTTGGATTTTCATCTCCTAAAAACGCGGGGCTGTCAAGGTCATTATACAGACGGTCTTGGCTTCCTATCACAAACAGTCGCTGAACACCATTCTCTACAACCATACTGTCCACCATTTGAAGGCATTGGTCTCCCGGACCAAACGAAGCAATTATCAATAGCTGTTCATTGTATTACCGTATTTCATTGAATCTCGGCACAGAACTGTACTCGTCAACATCCGCCATTTTGTTTGCATCCTTACGTCACAGCAGCCGGCTGACGTCATTCGTGCCCAAACTTCCGGATTCCACTGAGAGTCAACTCCTCTCCGAACTGGTGTTTGATGCCGTGACCCCAACAGCGGTCGGCACAGCACCCTGGGTCTCTCATCCTTCTGCCTTTCTACCTACGAAATAAAGGGTTTTCACCCTGAAGAAGAGCTATGCCCGAAACGTTTATGATTTATCTCAAAATGACACTTTGACATTTTTCCATCCTATCAGTTTTCAGTTTTTATTTTCTTTTGAATTTTTATATCCATTCGAGTGTCACGCATTAACTGGGGAGACGTTCATCCCAAACATTATTGCAGATATTACAGGAACGAATAAAAGTTTACTTTTTCGGTTCATTTATCTGCCAGATTGGTAGGGTATGAGGTGCTCAGACCACTTGTCCACTCGAAACGTCATTTTCACATTAAAAAAAAACCCGCATATAAGAACCTAGTGATTTAAGAACCTACAGGCTGAAATTTGGCATTTAAATACCCAGAAATAGAGGAACCTGGTCAGCCTGGTAAAGAAAACTAGGTTCTTATACATTTTGATGGTCTAAATTCTGGATTTTTATTGTGTGAGAAACTTCTGACAAAGAGTTAATGTGTATATTTTTTCTTTGATATACATTTTTTTTTTCGATTTTCACCCTAACCCTTAACCCTACAGTGCAATATAGACAGTTTAAAATCTAAATCTTTCAAAATAAAATATAGAAATATATGGCAAGCAGTTTTGTTTGTTGTTAGAAGTTCTATATTTCTGCCAATGGTTACACTACGACAACTTCTGAAAAATAAGAACCTATTAAGAACCTGATCAGCCTGAACTGTGAAAAACTACCCTAAAATATCAGAAGCTGTTCAGCCTTGACCTCGAAAATTCTAGGTTCTTATATGCGGGTTTTTACTGTACTCGCTACGGCGCTCAATTTGTCAAGTGTTGCAATTTCCCACCGAAGCAGCCCAACAGTTTCTTTAGAAATTATCTGTATGTATAATTAGTCTTTTTTGTGTTTTGTGTGTCTTTTTCTTATTTCCTCTTATTTGACTTTAATTTAATCACTTTTAATCACTAAGGATGGCTGCCCAGTCTTATTAGCCCATTAAGGTTATTTCGGGCAGCCATGTACTCTTTTTATCTCGACTGATTTTTGTTCATCTAACTCTAATTTCTATGTTGAGTACAATGAAGTTTTTGTTGTTGTTGTTGTTGTTGTTGTTGTTGTTGTTGTTGTAGAAAGTACGTTTCTCGCAACTTTCTCACGACGAAAACTGCTGTGCGGTGTCCAACCCTTGCGTTTGCCTGTTTCATTTAACGGAATCTTCTCGGAATCTACCATCATTGAATCATTTATGGCTTATGCTTATCGCCCGTATCTTGCACCACACAACCAGCGTTTTGAATTCTCTTTGGACCACCGTGAATTACAAGTCATAACTACAACATAAAATAAACTAGAAGATTGAAAGAACTGTGTTGTTTAATTTTGCACTGACAAATGAAACTTGTGAAAGCGAAGGACTGCCTAGAGCTAGACTGCGAGAACCTCTTCTCGACAGGCGGTCGAGAAAAAAGCGCTAAAAGGCGAGTGCACACACACACAAAAACGAGAGCAATGTGAGGAAAAACAGGCTCTGCTCGAGCAAAAGAAAATAAAAAGACAATGCAATCTTTTATAACTCTTTCAATACTCCCGCTGTTACTCAATGAAAACAAAAATTATTGACGACAAAAAGTAAATCATCAAAAACCACATACACTGCGGAGGCTGCGGAGCCTGGAAACGATTTCTGATTGGTTTATTTCTACAGTGCCTTATTGTAGCATCATAGATCAGCTTAGTGATCTTTTCCTGAGGAAACGTTTCCGTATTTTAGTCTCAAACCGACAAGGTATGTCATCAAGGCTTAAGCGGCTTGAGTCCGAGCTTAGCTCTGAGTTCGTTTGCTTCTTTGATCTCCAGTTCTTCTTTACTCATCCCTGTGCTCTCACTTTCCTTCTCCTTCTTCTTGTCAGATTTTTCGGATTTCTTCGACTTCTTCGACGATTTCTCCGGCGACTTTGATCGGGACTTCGATTTGGATCGGTGACGCCGACGATGGGGCGATCGTGAACGAGAGCGCGACCTCGAATGGCGACGATGAGGCGAACGACTTCGGCTCCTGTGCCCGCGTCTTCTATGAGGGGAGGCACTAGACGACAAACACAAAAAGATAGTCTCAATTAATTTATACCATCACACTTTTCATGGAGAGAGACTCAGCCACAAAACACGCACACCGCTAAGTTTTTTACGGTTTAATCTTGATGGTTTATTATTATCTCTTTGCTGTTGATCTATATTAGTAAACTACTAGTTTCTTCTATTCAAAGGTGATTTTATACGTGGCCAAACTAACTCAAAATGCCGTGACTGAGCTTCTTTGAGTACCTCAAAGATAAATCTAGACACCAACTACAGACTGTAGATACAAATACACACAAACAGCTTACCTGCGTCGCCGACGACGAGGAGATCGAGAACGGCTTCGTCTGAGAGAAATAAACAAAGAGTTTAATTATAAAGGAACTTTGCGTTCGTATCACAAAAAAACAGGGGAGTAGCGGGCTTCTCAGAAATTTAAACCAGATGATAGGTAAAGATAAGTCAGGTAGGCCGGAAGGAAAGGATGGTGGGTGAGTGATAGAAAGGAAAGAAGAGAGGAAAAAGAGGTGGGAAGAAAGGGAAGACAAAAGAAAGAAGGAACGAAGGAACGAGGGAACGAAGCAACGAAAGGAGAAGGGACGAAAAAACGAAGGAATGAAGGAACGAAGGGACGAAGATACGAAGCAACGAAGCAAATTAGCAACGGGAAGCAACGAAGTAACGAAGTAATTTTTTAATCTTAATTAAATTTTCTTAGTAATCTTTTTAAATTGTGTACATATTTTATCATATGTTTTTAAGGTTTTTTACCCCCCACACCCACCCTGCTTTTTATTTATTTTTACATAATGTCTTGCAGTGATGGGAACATGCCTCCCTTTGCAAGACCCCCATAACGTAGATGTAGATGTAGAACGAAGCAGCAAAGCGACGAAAAAACGAAGGAACGAAGTAAAGAATGAACGAACGAACATCTACGGTAATACTCTTCAACACTTTACAGTCGGGAAGAACGAACGAACAATGATAGGAATGAGGGAGGGGGGGAGGGAGGGAGGGAGGGAGGAAGGGACGAAATAAGGATGAAAGTAAGACAGAAGACACGAGTCTAATCCTGGTCAACCTTGTTACATTCAGTGATTTGCTAGCATTCAAGATAGCTTTGGCATAAAATTATCTCGGCCTACCAAATTAAAAGTAAAGCATTGTGATTGTGAACAGCTCTTTCAGGCAAAACAAAACTTCAACAAATCCAAACTGGACCTGCAATCTGCTCACATTAAATGGATCACACAGCACTCACAAACAATTCAAACCAAAGCTATATCTACCTATGATGGCCTGGAGATCGGCTTCGCTTTCGTGTTCTGTCGTAATCACGATGCGAACGTCTTGGCGAAGGACTCCGACTTCTGCTTCGGCGACGAGGAGACTAAACAGGAAAAGGGAAAAAAAAAATAGCTAAGCTCTTGTGTCAAATGCCATGAATATAATACAACCGATGAGAAGCTTGAAAAACTTGTGTGAAACAGCAATATTGTACATGTTCTTTCATAACTGCATTCCCCCCGCTTAAAATATGCTTACTGTAGCATACTGTATGTAAATACGTAACGCAATCAAAATATATATCAATAAAACAGAAACATACAGAAACAGAGACGAGCGATGCGTGGTATGGATCAAATTTCGTCACCTATTACAATAAAAAACTGTGGTTTTGTAATTGTGCACCGTTCGTCAGTCATTGATTAAGTGGCCATTGTCGAGAGGTAATTTTGGCAGTTGTGACATGCTTAAGGACGATCGCGCGAAAATTTTCCAGTCGATGGATTTTTTTAAAATTTTTAATGCAGTCAGATAATGAGTTACTTGTGTCAGAAATGAAAAAAAAAAA